ATCTCTTAAGTCTCCTTCCTATTTGCAAAAGATCTGTCTGTTTCCTATTGTCTATCTTTTATTTTCCTCTTTAATTTATAATCTGGGGTTCTCATATAAGAGAAGCCAGGCGATATTTAAGCTTGTGTGTCCAATTTATTTCACTTAATATTATGGTCTCAAGGTGCATCTGTTTTCCTACAAATGACTCAAATCTATGCTTGGTTACGGCAGAGTAGTACTCCACTGTGTGTAAGTACCACATTTTCTTTATCCGTTCATCAGTTGATGGACATATAAGCCACCGCTTCCAGGATTTAGCTGTTATGAGTTAGCTGCTATGCATCACTGTAATATGATGTTTTTAACTCTTTCAGAACGATGTGTAGAAGAGAAACAGCTGGGTCGCACAGACCTTACTCTAACTTTTTTGCCTGTATTACCATTGGCCTACATCCCCTCCAAACCATGGATCATGCAACCACTTTTGTGTCCCTCCTGCCTTACATGGTGCCTGCATCAGCAGATATTCCATATTTATTTAGGCACTGCATGCTTACTTACACTTAATTAGTGAAATATTTACTCTAGTGAAATAGCAGCCCTGAAATCGGCCTCCACCTCCTCCTCCACTCCCACTGCTCGACACCCAGTGTCACGGTGAGTCACCAAGATTCTGTGCATGACTTGGTGTATTTTTCCCGTGGCCCAGCAAGCAGTGGCTTGGACAACCTGCACCTCCTCATGGATCTAACAATGACAGGAGGTGATAAGAGAGAGTGCAGGCGTCTTTTCATCATCCATGCTTGGGGCCATGAGAAGGAGCTCCTTAAACACAAATTGGATTAGCAGGACAGGGTTAGAGCCTGCCGGAAGGTATGGGAGCCTTATAAACTGCGGCATGGAGCTCCTATTGTCTTCATTCTAAGCCCATGCTCATCAAATAAGATATGGAGGTAGTCATTAATAACGGGAAGAAAGGAAATGAGATATAAAATGAAGTGACCACATTTTTATAATTACCAGAAAGCTGCCTTAGGCAATAAAAGTTTAGATTAGCAAAAAATAAATAGGATAATCTGAAATAAGAGTTAAATAAGCATTTTTTAAATAAGAAATAAACTCACTAAAAAAGTCTCTTATCTCCTCCATCAAGAAAAACTTTAAGGAAACTGATTAAGAGGTGACTTCAAAAAAGAAAAATATTTGAGATGTATTAGAAGAGTCCAACACACCTGGACATTTCCAATGAACTGAAGTCCCGGGTCTAAATGAATTACAACTCCATGGCACTGGGAAAATTTGCAGATATAAGCACAGAGCTCCTGTCAGTAACTCCTGAGAAATCACAGAGAATACAAAGTTGGGCCAAGGCACTAACTTTTGAAAAAAGGGGAAATGGTGAATCGTGAATCATGTTGATAGTGAATCAACAGTGAGCTCCAGGCTGATTCCATCAAAAATTCTAGAAAATACAAATCTGAGTTCTGCCATTTGTTTGTTTTGTGGTAGTGAGGGGTTGAAACCAGAGCCTTTGCACTGAGATACATCCCAACCCTTTTTTGTCTTTCATTTTGAGACACGATCTTGCTAAGTCACTAAGTTTCCCAGGCTGGGCTCAAAATTGCAATCCTCCTGCCTCAGCCTCCCAGTGTTTTGGATTTACAGGCATTTGCCACATCAGGCTGAGTTCTGCCATTTAATAGCAATGTAACCTTGAACACATTTCAAAACTTAGTTGTAAGAATTAAGATATATATATGAAAATAATATATTTAGATGAGATGGTACATGTAAAATAATATTACATGTTAGATAGGAAATTATCAGTAAACCATTTTTTCTTTCATTTGTACCACTTCAAAAAGAGGGAATAGCTGGGGCCCAGGATTTAGCTCAGTGGTTCTGGCACCTGCCTTACAAGCGCAAGGTCCCGAGTTCAATGCCCGGTACCAAAAAAAAAAAAAAAGGAGGGAATAGCAACTAGGTACTGACACAGCCTCATCAAGAACCAGTCTTGTTTACCTGGCCTCGTTTTTCTGGTCTAGAGTTACAGGGTTAAAAAGATATTTTTAGGCTGGTATATTGGGAATGCATCTTCATTCTGAAAAAGCATTTAATAGAATTTCATAACATCCTGATGAAAAGACTGGATTTTTGGAGTTAGGTGACTGAATAACCTTACCCCCAGTACCACTCATGAACATGCCTGTTTCCTTTCTTGTAAAATGATGTAATAACAGTCTCTCCCTGGCTGTCGTCTACATCTCAGTGCCTAGCCTTGGTCAGCACTGTATACACATTGCTCACGAAGCCTCTAAGGAAGTTCCCAGTGCCCAAGCTTGTGCAGCAGCTGGCTCCACCCTCTGACATTTCCCTCAGGAATCAGTTCCGTTTTCCCATAGTGTGCTTGTTAGGCTCTCAGATGATAAGAACATTGGATAATGAGATCAAATCCCAAAAACCTTGACAGACTAGGGCTTTGAGTTGATATATGTGAGGTGAAATTAAGTTCCAGGTAGAAATTTTAAGAAAGAACATTTTCCCATGTGGTGTCCTGCCTTATTAGATTTTCTGTGGATCACAAAGGGAATTTTAGTTCACTCTAAGCTCTACATGTGGAGAAGAATGTGTCCAGCAATTAATGCATGGTCAGCTGCATCAAGAGAACCAGAATGGCCTGTTTTAGTCACTTTCTTGTCACCGAGACACGATTCCCAGCCCCCACAACTTAGAGGAGGAGAGGTTTATTTCGGCTCACAGTGTGTAGAGGTTCAGTGCATAGTTGGCTGGCTCCAAGGCAGGATGGCACTGCAGAAGGGAATGGCAGAGGAGAAAGAGCTCGTGGCATGGGCGGGGCAAAGAGAGGGTGCAGGGAGGCGCAGGGAAGAGATCAATCCTTTCAGGCCACCTCTTCCAACCAGACTCTACCTCCTAGCAGCAAGTCAGCTAGCAACCCCCATAATCCAATCATCTTCCAAAAGCCCCACCTATGAGCACATGAGACCTTGGGGGACATTTATTTAGTTAGTTAGTTTTTGAAATAGGTTCTCACTATGTACCTCAGGCTGGCCTTAAACTCACTGTGTAGCCCAGGCTGAGCTCGAACTTGAGGCAATCCTCCTGCCTCAGCCTCCTGAGTGGTGGGATTACAGATGTCTGCCACCATGCCTGGCTAGGGGACATTTTTAGATGTAAACCATAACCTGGCCCAACCAAGACCCATGTAAACATATAGTCCAAGATGGCGAGCACAACGCGTCCATCGTGAACTCTTCTCTGCCTCTGGTTTCTTCTGAACAGCAGCTCAGCTCCTGTGACACTGGGTCTCAGGAGGGCTGAGGCACAGATAAACAGTGAGGAAATGGAAGGCAGGAAGGGATCACATTTCCAGCTCATCTGGGGTCAGGAAACATCCTCAGGTGGGTCTAAGAGGACAGCCTCAAGAGTTGCAAGGAAATATAATTAGAACTTTATCAGGCACCTAATGGCTCACTATGCTACAATGCTGAAATAAATTCCCTTCTAATCGTGATTACTACAGCTTTATCTAATCTGCTTCCTATAGGAAATCAAGCTACTCCCAGGCACTTTATCAACTTTTTGCTCATAATAATCCCTGTCCCTGACAAAAGAAGATATTGTCATCCCCACAGTACAGATAAGAAATCGAGGCAGAGAAATAGAGTGAATTGCCCTGGGTCACACAGAACCCAAATTACAATTTAGTATCTAACGCAGAGCACATTACCTGAGTTTGGGAGGAAGCATACTGGAATCACATTATAGCTTCAAAAAAAGGACATATTTACCTTAATCTCTGGGAGAGAGAAGATTAATTGCATTTTCCTTGGCACATGCCAAAAATACTGAGAAGACACTTTAGATTCCACATGCTTATTCTAATCCTTTTCCAAATGCTTCAAAAGCCTTGGTTTGACCAGTATTAGGATGATGCAGGAAATCAACTTTATTTTTCAATTAAGGTAAATATTTGTTTGCTGAATGCCCAAGGAAAGTAATCAAATCAGAATGCCATATAGTACAGGTTCTTTCAGATCATCAGGAAGCAAGAGACTCCCCCCAGTAGGCATAAATCCAGACAGCCTGCTCCTCTGTCCCCAGCCCCGCTCCACTCCCAGCCTAACTGCACCATCCAGGGACCGCATAAATAAAGACCAAGGGAATCATATTTTTAACCAAAAACGTTCCATGCAACCATAAGTTATTATTAAACAAAGTTATATATTTTACCTAATTACTGAAAAAAATCACGTTCATTATAAAAATCTAGGAAATAAAGTTACACAAAATAAAATTAATCCAAAAGCATGCCCTACATCATCACCAACTAACAACCTTTTGTTGCTGTTTACAAACAGATTCTGTAAGGCTCATTTCTCTGGTCAGGGCATGAGGAATCAGGCAGAGGCTAACGCAACCTGAAGGTTCTGTAAGTAGTTTCTCTTTAATTAAGTATGGAAACTGGCAATTTACCCATGGACAACTACCTTTTATTTTCTTGCCATTTGTCTTAGAAGATAAGACCACTATGATTTTTGGTGGTAAAGACAAGAAATGATTGTATTTTATTGGCCTGAGAATTTTTTTTTTTGGTACCCGAGATCTAACTCAGGTCCTTGCGCTTGCGCAGCAGGCGGTGAAACCACTGAGCTAAATCCCAGGCCCATGCCCTGAGAATTTTACACGATAATTCTAGAACTGTGTAACTCACTCACCCAGACCAGCAAGTATTTATGGCCCAAAACGGACTGTCTGCCTCTTTACCTGTACACACAATAGTCACATCTACTGGACACAGGTACATTTTGATCAAATTCTGCCCTTCCCTCAGGAAAAAAGACACATCTGCACATTCAGAACCCATATAAAAGCTGGATAAAAAATGTTAATAATCAGCAAGTGATGAGTATAGCGGAATCTTTCCAAATAGGGAGCAATACTGCCACAGACCAGCACGGTCCAATCCCTTTCTTCTTCCATCAGAACCTGCTCCTTACCTTTTTGTTCATCGCTACACCATCCTCACAGTCGAGCACCACGCAGTCTACATTCAGAGAAGGAATCTTCTTTATTTTCTTTTCGTCGTTCCCAGGTACATATAGCACTGCCCTCCGAGGAATATACTTGTGACTGGACAAGGAACTATAGCGAAGCCTGGGGACATCGGCTGCTAGGGAGGTGCTCCTGCAGGAGACATAGGTGGGATTAGTCCAGAATGGAATTTCTGCATTCACAAATTTGCAAAAAAACTTATTTTAATGAAAAATTAAAATACAACATATAGACAATCTTTCTAAATTAGGGCGGAACACAATCCCATGTTAAAATCTTGAAAAGCAATCACAACAAGATATAATCAGTGAAGCTCAGCATAATGGTGCACACCTGTAATCCCAGCACCCAGGAGGCTGAGGCAAGAGGATCACCATAAATTCAAAGCCAGCCTGAGCTACACAGTGAAGCCAAGACTAGCCTAAACCACATAGTGAGACTCTGGCTCAAAACAACAACAAACAAACAAACACACCCTAATGAACAAAATGTCATTTGGCTGAGGTTTTAAAAATACACAGTCCAAGGGCCAAGGATTTAGCTCAGTGGCACCGCGCCTTCTTCGAAAGCACAACATCCTGAGTTCGATCCCTGGCACCGCAAAAATAAATAAATAAAATTAAAATTAAAATACACGGTCTTGTTTATTGGCATTATCTTCTGGGAGATGGAGGAGAGTGTACCTAATCTTACAAAAATACTTCCAGTATCAGTATGCTGTCCAGATAGCATCCATGGCAAACAAGATGAGAAATGTACATCCAAAAGACACTAAACAATAACACAGGTCGAATATCTTTTGTCTGAAATACTGGGGCCAGAAGTGTTTGGGATTTTGGAATTTTTAAATTTTGGAGCACTTGCATACACATAGAGAGACGTCTTGGGGAGGGGACGCAAGCATAAATATGAAATTCATGAAGGTAATTTTATGCAAAAATAAATTTAGAGGGGTACAGTGCTGGGGACTGAAGCCAGGGCTTCAAGAGTGTTAGATAAGCTCTAACCGCTGAGCTACACCTGCAGCCTAACTTTATGTAGTATGTTTAGTGTACCATGTTTGGACTGCAACCTGTCACATGAGGAGGTCAGGTGTAGAGTTTTCACTTGTGGTCGCATGTTGGTGCCCAAAAAGTTTTGAATTTTGAAGCATTTTGGATTGCTGACTATAGATGTCGATCTATACTATCTACAATTACGCGTAAATCAAAAAGTAGAACACAAACTATATAAGCATCCATATGGACCCTCTTTGACATTCCATCTTTAAAAGTAGGCAATAGGTGATTCAAGTTCAATTCCAACAGCAGACGAGATAGGCTGGCTGCCTCATGAGTAGGAGGACAGTGGATGGCAGGCCGCGTCTAGCTCTGCACTACAGACAACTGCATTCCTGGAAGTTTAACTCCTCGCCATTCTGCAGGCTGCTAAAGAGTAAGCGAAGGCAATAATGCACTCAAAGCTCTAAAACAAGCTGGCAGAGATGAGCTAGGCGACAGGGTGCTGGGCATCGCACAGCAGGAGGAGGTGTAGTGGTTCTTCAGGGAGAACCTAGGGGCAGCCGTGCCTGCCTGCTCCTAATCCATGCTCTTTCTTCCCTCCAACTACTTCAGCTTCCTGGCCAGCAGCTCCTTGGGCTCACGCTGCCCCCTGCCCCAACCTGACCCAAGCTTGTCCTGTAAAAACAATGCTTTATGCTTAGAATGTAAGTTTTGGTGAAGGAAGAGGAAATCAGCTCTCATAATCAGGACCAGTTACATAATTTGCAGGACCCAGTGTGAGATGGAAATGAAGAATCTCCTGTTTAAAACAGATTAGGAATTTTGTTTTAGAGACAGGGTCTCACTATGTAACCCAGCCTGGCCTTGAACTCATGGAGATCCTCCTGCCTCAGCCTCCCGAGTGCTGGGATTACTCCTGTCTGATTAGAATTTAAAGATGGCAAAAGGAGAACATGAAGCCAAGTGCCACAGCATAAATTACACACCCATGTCCTGCTTGTAACAGGTGCTATGTGTCATGGTATATGTCATGAAGACTGCTGGCAAAGGACAGGTTTAGGCTCTAGC